CTGCTTTGCGCCTGGCACCCTTCTGCTTCTGGGCGCTAGCTGTCTTCTTGAATGCTGATGTGGCACTTGCCACGCTGTCTTTGGCATTGCTGACGGGGCACATGCCACACAGTCTTCGACGCAGATTGGGGATGCGACAAGGAGGGAGATCAGGAACTGTGGGATTGATTGAGTGAGAGAGGGGGATGCCACACTGTCTTCGGCATTGATGTCATCGACATCGCGCGCTGTAGAGACGTGTTCATGGGAGATCTATGCCTACGTGGCACTATGCTGTGATCAGATCTTGTCAGACTCGTTGCTGGGACACTGTTTGCTGACGTGGACGTGGGGAGACACCCGAAGGAGAAGTGGGGATTGAGGGAGATCTATCTACAAGGACATTGATGGATACTTTCTCTTCAACCCTCTTATGTCTATTCTCCCTCTTATCTGCTTCGTCCTATGGTTACGAGACATTGTATTACAGATCACATGTCATGATTATTGGAGACATTTATCAGTGCTGAGACATCTTCTATTTCGACACTTGACGAGTTTCTCTCCTGACTGGGTTCATTACATTTGTTTTAGATTTTCACCACAACAGCCCCTCTTCCACACAGAGAGTAGATCCAAAATCGAAGCACCTTTACCTCTACTGCAGACAATGAAGCACACTTGAGAGGAGCCAATCCAACAATGGAACAGTTTTACCTCTTTAGCAAGCAACATGGAGTAGAATAGATCTGTAACACCGCTTTCTTGACTATCTCTACTTCGGCTTTCTTTGGGGTACCACTTTTATTTGTTCTCGCAGCTCCCCTTTTACAACGCTGGCCACGTTGATTGCGGTCGAGCGCCAGCTGCTCACATCCCCGTGTGCCTTCACGACACACTTGCACGTCATGAAAGGAGGCAGAGTGAAGGGGGAGGTATACTCCTGTTCATTTCTTCAGATCTTCAGCTTATATTTTGTCTGTTCTCTTAATGGTGCTCATCCGTATGCATTTACTAGTAGTACACAAGAGGAGGGAGGGAGGAAATAGGTGGTGGAGTTCTATAGAAAGCGAGGGGCAGGGTAGGGAGAAAGGGTAGAGGAGAGAAGTGCAGTGGCAAGGAACGGAACACAGGCATGGGAAACTTCACACAGGTGTCTCAACACTCACCGCTGTAGCAGAGACACATATGTTCTAGAATGGCACGAGAGGTCGGTGATGGCATCGGGGATAGTCCATGCAGAAGTGACACATACGTTCTATGACAGCTTCCTGGAAACATGACATGTCGCGGACATGTCATCAGGAAAGCTGGCTGACGTTTGCAACTATTTGAGCATGGCATGACAAGGCCACAACCGCATGCTGGGCAAGTAATTAGGGGGGCGGGGGGATGAGTACAAGACAATGGGTCGCGGTTTTCGTGGCAGAGGCTGGCAGTTACCATCCTGTCATGGTATCCCGAGCAGAGACTATGCCATGTGCATGCTAACCGAGCTGTAGCTATGTGGAGACACAATGGCATGGCTAGCCTGCGGAGAGGTCCCTTCACTATCCGTTCAATCTACACAGGGAGGGGATGCTGCCTGGCCATTTACAGCGGACGGGGGAGGTTCAGTGGGATTGCTCACCGGAGGCTGTAGAGCTTGTGAGTGCACGTTCACATACTGCTCCTGATTGACCTGCCAGACCGAGCGGGATTCTATACCAGTCGGTGTCGGTCCTTCGGCCAAACGGAAGGAAGCGTGAGTTTATGCTCTAATGTAATGTTTTTTCTGACTTGCCGGTGGAATAGGAACCGGACTGACGCAGAGAAACTAAATGTCTCTGGGACTGACGCGGGCTGGGGGGTTTTCGCGCTAGCGCTGCGCCGGTAAGCGCTGTTTCGTAGCGCTAACACACGAAGCCGCGTCGATGCGAATTTCTCGCGCTGGGCGAGACGCGCGCGGGAACACGCGCGCAACTTCTCTAATTCGAATGTGCAACTGGAAAGGCGGGAAAATCGCGAGACGAGATCAAGCCTGGGCTCGCCACGCCTTCGGGCGTGGCTCTCACCATCGCGACAAGTGCCCATCAACAACGGAGGAGAAATGAGGACGAAAGGACGGAGGAGAAGATAAATGTTGTAGCTGGGAGAAAAAAGGAGGAACTAAGAAGAAGAGAAGACGAGTTTCGAAGGGGAGGGAAAGAGGAGAAGTGTGGGCAGGCCACTCCTTTCAGGGGAGTAAGGATAACCAACGAGGATAAAGGATTGAAAGGTGGCGCAACCAGATATAGTAACAACGGAGAGAGAAAAGAATAGTAAACATCTCAGGTGAAGGACGGGTAAAAGAAGCAAAGGACAAACGAGAAGTGAACAGGGAAGAAGGAGAGAGAAGAAAAAGAGAGAGTAGGGGACTTTCCTTTCTGCGATATAGAAGCCAGGAAAGAACGGTGGAAATCAAAACACGTATTGTGTGGAGATTAGAGAAGGTTGAGGAAGAGGAGAAACAG